AGGTCTCTGCTGCTGTGGGTGGAAGTTTCTGTAAGCATGCCAGGAGCTGAGCTTGCCCTGTCCCCAGCAGCAGCAAATAGAGCCCCTGAAAGGCCGTCCCTCGGGCCTGGGGGACTCCCTGCTCCCAGCAGTGTTTGGTTAAAGCTGGTTGCAAAGAGGCTTCAGCTGTAATTAACGGGGAAAGCGTAGTCAGCCAAAGCACCGGGGTTCTTACACCTGCTGGCAGGGAACAAACTTAACAGTAGTGAGCTACAAGTGACCAGGGGAAAAATGGGGATACAGGGAGAGAATTAACTAAGCAAGAATAAAATTTAGGGTTGAGTGCCATTCCCACAAGAGGTTGGCAAATGGCACCAGCCTTCAGGGGTCAGGGGGTGCAGGTGAAGGCTCAAGCTGTGGTTGCTGAATGGTTCCTCAGAAATTCCAAGCCGTCTGCGAACCTCTGCTCCTCGACAACAATGTGGCTTGTGGAACATGTAATGCGAGTCGCATGGACTAAGCATTGCTGGTTCCTGTCCCCTGCTGGTTCCCCAGAGCTGGGTGTGCTGCCCCGCACCTAGCGGGGACCTCGTCCTGCTTGTGGAGAGGTGAATCTTCCTGAAGGGATGCAGCAAACAGTCCTTTGTCCCAGCCCCCAGCAGTGTGTGCCATAGGCCGTTTTCCTTCCATGTGTTCGTTGATGGTCATAAGCAAAGGATTTGCAGCAGAAGAATAACTCACATGTTCATGTATATGCACACACACCTTTTGCCCTTAATCCAAGGAAGATAAATACGATTTTTACAGCCAGCCCCACACATGCTCCATCTGTTATAGTAACTACCTTAACCTTATTAATGGGCTTGTTACCAGAACCAGTGTGACAGCAGCGTGCTACTTACACAATGGGGGTTTTGTTCTTTAGAATTCAGTTTTCATGAGGTTTCTGTGACAATTGCAGAAGGCTGTGATACTGACCCATTAGCAGTTTCATGGAATTTTTCATTTATGAATGTATTGTTCTTTCAAGCCAGCTGGGAATACAGTGAGTGAGTATCTGATTTTAGCAAATGTGGTTTGTATGTGTATGTTCTGTAAGCGACATAAATCCTCTGGCTGCTCTGCCTGTACACTGGCAGTGGAGAAGCGGGGCTGCGCTCATCTGGACATGCTGTTTTATTTGGATCAGAAATGATCTTGTAGTTCTTGTAGCTGGTAGGCCTGTGGGTCTGTCCAAACCCAGCTCTGCTCTGCTCGCCTCGGTGGAAGGAGTGCTTTTTGGTTTAGTGTAGAAGACTCTCCTACTTGAGTTTATTATTAGTTCACTTACTCGAAAAAAGGCAAGGAGGTAGAAGTGAACTGGATCATAGTGGCAGGTCCTGGCTATTTCGGAATGTGAATGTTGGTTTCTACCACTTATGTCTGTCATGGTGACAGTGTCTGAAAAGCCTGCTGGTGAAAATCCAGTGTTAGATTTTCTTCAAGCTTAGGAAACAAAATCTATCAGAGGTGTGGGGAGAAGCCTTATAAATTCTTATGCCTCTCTTGCCTTTGTCTCCACCATGACCGTTGAGGACTTAAGCACTCATGTTGTAGAAGCTTTTGCTCTGCCCTACACCCCTCCCCCCCCCCCCCCCTATTTATTGTGTC